AAGGCTGGCTGGGGGATTCTGGGAGTTGAAGTCCACCCGTCTTAAAGTGGCCAAGGTTGAGAAACACTGCTTTAACACCGACAACTCAGTGGAAGTCTTCTCATCAGCTTTTTGGAGAAGGTGCAGACGAGGAGACAGCCCGGATCCAGTTTGCCCCATTTGGGCCGCTTGGCTGCAAGTTGAACCCCAGGCTAGCTTTACCCCACATCCACTCACCCATCCCATGTAGCCTCGCATCTCTAATCTAGAGAGCGGGCACCTGACCCCACCAGTGGGGAGGGAATTGCAGTGCCCTGGTGCATTCAGAAGACCCTTATTCCTGGAGGGGGTTGCATTCCCCCAACAGCTGGTCCCTGAATTAACTCCTTGTCTGGGTCTGAGTCATGATGAACCAGGCCAGCCGCGTCATGCGCCCGCCCGACCCTGGCCAAGGACTCCCATTCCTCCCTTTCTTTGCTTTTTTCACTCAGGACGGGCACGTCCGGTGCCAAGAGCAGCTCTGTCCCCCAGCGCCATGCTCCCAGCCGCTCCAGGACCCAGAGCGCTGCTGCCCCGTATGCCCAGGTGAGTGTCAGAGAGGACCCTGTGCCCTCTTTGCTGCGCACTTCCTCACGTGGAGCTGAGTCAGCTCAGATTGGACTGCGACCTCACGGGAATTTGCAGCGTGCAGCTTGGCTGGCTTGCCCGAGTCATCTCCAGGGCTTGTTCCAGAGCATCAGGAATTGGTTAATGAAGCCATCAGGGCTATTTATTTATTTATTTGCATCATTTCTTAGCCGCCCATCTCACTAATGAATCCTTTTTGGGTTGGTCTCGCGGGGAACATCAACCAGGCTTTTCATATAACTTTTGCATCTGTCAGACTGAACCGTGACCTCAAAGAAGTATTTTTTTGGTTTGGACTGAGCTTGTGCTAAGTATCAGCCATTCTGGGTCATAAACTGTGGTTTATGGCTGAGGGCAGTGTTTCTCAAGCTTGGCCACTTTAAGCTGTGCGGACTGCCAACCATGCTGGCTGGGGAATTCTGGGAGTTGCAGTCCGCACAGCTTAAAGTGGCCAAGCTTGAGAAAC